GTTGGCGGCGATAGCAGCCAGGTGCAAGGGCAGCACATCCAAGCAACTAAATATGCTTTTGCCGCCATTCTTGAATCTGGGGCTGTTGTGACCTGGGGTGATCCAGACTATGGCGGAGACAGCAGCCAGGTGCAAGAGCAGCTGAGGAATGTACAACACATCCAAGCGACCGGTTGTGCTTTTGCAGCCATTCTAGAATCTGGGGCTGTTGTGACCTGGGGTGATCCAGACTATGGCGGAGACAGCAGCCAGGTGGAAGAGCAGCTGAGGAATGTACAACACATCCAAGCGACCGGTTGTGCTTTTGCAGCCATTTTAGAATCTGGAGCTATTGTGACTTGGGGTCATCCAGAATATGGCGGAGATAGCAGCCAGGTGCAAGAGCAGCTGAGGAACGTTGAGCACATCCAAGCAACTAGAAATCCGTATTGTGGTGCTTTTGCTGCCATTCTTGAATCTGGGGCTGTTGTGACCTGGGGAGATCCAGACTATGGCGGAGACAGCAGCCAGGTTCAAGAGCAGCTGAAGAACGTCCAGACCATCCAAGCAACTAGATCTGCCTTGGCAGCCATTCTTGAATCTGGGGCTGTTGTGTCCTGGGGTGATCCAGACTATGGCGGAGACAGCAGCCAGGTGCGAGACCAGCTGAGGGACGTCCGGCACATCCAAGCAACTGAGAGTGCTTTTGCAGCCATTCTAGAATCTGGAGCCATTGTGACTTGGGCCTTGGGGTCATCCAGAATATGGCGGAGATAGCAGCCAGGTGCAAGAGCAGCTGAGGAACGTCGAGCACATCCAAGCAACTAGAAATCCGTGTTGTGGTGCTTTTGCTGCCATTCTTGAATCTGGGGCTGTTGTGGCCTGGGGCAACCCGTTCTGTGGCGGGGACAGCAGCCAGGTGCGAGACCAGCTGAGGAACGTCCGGCACGGTTATCCAGAATACGACGGGCACAGCCGCCAGGTGCAAGAGCAGAAAAGGTGTTATCTTTGTTGTTTTTTTGTTTTAAAGGGAAACCCATTGGAGAGCACCAATTTTGAGAGTTCCAAACGCAATAAAGATGGAAGGGCGCAGGGCTCCCTTCAAGTGTCGTCAGGTGCGTATTCGCTTGCTTACATGTTCTGGACACTCCTGGGGGGTCCAGGTTCTTTCGTTTTGGGTATTTTACATTCGGGTACCTGGACCCGAAAGAAGTCTACATAAGAAAATGGCGGAGTTGGCTGGCGGAGTGGGTGGCTAATGCCTAATCCCAGTTCAGCTCCAGAGCCGTCTTCGCCAATTTGTGGAGTCTCAAAAGACCCATTTTTTTCTGGGCTCCTTAGAAGATGGCCATTTTGCAACCATTTGAAACATGGCTTTTTCAACCACAATAGGGGGAAACCACCAATGTTCAGGTGTATAATGTCAGGATCCCTGCATAAGAAAATGGGTTTCACCTCAGAGTTTTGAGGCCCGATCCGGGAATGAAGGTCCCATGCAGTACCTGGAGTTTCCCTAACGACCCTTTAAAAAATGGTTGGTCACTACCCAAAATAATGGTTGGTCAGAGACCCATTTTTATTGCGGGTCATGGAGACTCCAGGTACCTCCTTTTCTGTGGGTTTTGAAGGAAAACCGGAAAGACACCCAACAAACCAAACATGTCGGGGGTCCCCTAAAACATGACACACCCGTTTACGAAAACTGAGGTCGGCGCTTTTTCGTTCTGCAAGAGACCGACGTAGGTGGAAAGAGCGCGAAACTTTAGGACCCCATCTAAGTGTGTCATTTTTCGGGGACCCCCCAAATCGGTCGGTTTCCATTTGGTTTCCCTTTAGACCCCACCAAACAGGGTACCTGCATTCTCCACGGCCCTTTGAAAAATGGTTGGTCCATGTACCAAAATTTCATGGTTGGTCATGGACCCATATGGGTGTGGCGCAAAATTAAACAGAAGGGGTTTGCCCCGCAGGTTTTGGTACCCATGTTTCAACTTACCGATCGGGCAACCCATTTTGGAATTTCCTTTTGTTTTTTGAATTCGCCACACCTGGAGTCCATGACCCTAAAAAATGGGTCCATGACCCTATTATTCTGGGTAATTTGACCAACCATTTTTAAAGGGTCCTTAGGGAGACTCCGGGCAGCCATATTTTCTTTTCGGGCCAATTCGGGAGACTCGCCGCAAAAGTTATCATCAAAGTCCCCTGTACCCTCAAAGTAGTTCGAGCCCATGGAGACTCAACAAATTGGTCCATTTGGTTTCCCCTTGAACCCAAACAAATTGGGATGCACCTCAACAAAAGTTCGACTCCATACCTTGACTGCTGGTGGGTTGGATCTTTAGACTTTCACTTTTCGGTAAATCATTTTGGGTTTTCAAGACTAAACCCACTAAAAAGTGAAACTCACTCACTTTTTGCAGAGGGGTCGTTGCAGTATCCAGCGGGTCATGTTTTTTCAGAACCTGACCAACAACATCATCGGGCCCTACGTGGGCGATGCCGGCTTCGACCCGGCGGGCTTCGCCCGGAGCCTCGGGGGGATTCGCCGTGACCTGGGAGAGGCGCGCGAAAGCCGCGGTGGGGCCTCCAAAATGAGAGGGAGAAGCTGGTCATTTTGGGAGGGAAAGGAAAAGCCACCCCAAAAAATGAAAAACCCCAAATACCCGGCCTCTTTTTCTAGGGTGTGATGTCGACCCTCTACGAAAAAAAGGAGGTATGGTTTGAAAGGAAAAGCACAACATGGTTGGTGCTGGGCAACATTTGTTTTTACATGTTTGCTTGTTGTGGTTTAGTGGTTGAAATCCAACTCCACTTAACTGCTAAAATTCTCAAATTTTGGCTCCCCTTCCAACGCCAACCAAGAGAAGACCAAGCATTTTGTTGGGTCCTCTAGTTTGAGAGACCGGACGTTTCCCAGGAACTGCCTCCCTCAACTACCCTTGAGCAAGGTCACCAACCAGAAGTTTGGGGGTCTATAGCCCATTTCTGAGTTGTCCAAAGCCGACCTTTTGACCTTTTGGTTTTCCCATTTTGGTCCATTTTTAGTAGAGGTGCCAAAAGGTTAACCTTTTAGTTCTGGGTCCTTTGGGCAACTGAGATTTAGTTGGACGTTTGAGGGTGGTAGCTTAAAACCCTGGACATAAGTGGGGTAACCCTTCCCAGTATCACCACCGGGGATCCCGTTATGACAATGGTTAGGACCTACTTTGTAGTTTAAACACCCAGGTTCAACGTATCCGGTGGCCCGAGCGGCGTCGACCTTCGTGGAAGATGCTTTGCTGTTGCCGTCATGTATTTTTGGCCAGCCGCACCATCCCATTGTTCTATCGGATTCCCCATTCTTTTCAACCATCGCTCTTTTCAAAAGCCGGATCCGTTTCTCTGGGTGTCCGGAGGTTTTCTAGAAAGATTCAAGGATCCCTGGGTGGAAAGAATGGAACTGGAAGGTAGCACTGGAATTGTAGCAGGGGCTCCAAACTTGCCCGGAGTCTCCATGGCCCTTTAAAAATGGTTGGTCATGGTCAGTACCCCAAATAATGGGGTCGTAGACCCAGGTGGTTTCCTTGTTCCGCGGAGACTTTTATTCGTTGAGTTACAAGCCGCAGGGCCCACAGAAAAACTCAAGCAGAGCGAATCGACGAAAAACCGACCTTTCAGCGCTCCTTAAAAGATGCTCATTTTGCCACCATTTGAAACATGTTGTTTTTTCAACACCAAAATAAAGTGAAGCCACCATGTACAGGGCAATGTTCAGGTGTATAATGTAAGGATCCCTGAATTTAGCTTCCCACTTTTCGGTCCATATCCGGGTGACCCTTCATTTCTGAGTCCCATACTTCCATTTGCTGAAATGAGTATGTTTATTATTTTCCAACCTGTTGGTTTTAAAAGGGAAGCTGTCACTGGACATACGTTGCTCATTTTTTCCAGGGGGCGAAAACGCAACTGGAAGCATCCGCAAAGAGATTTGCGAGAAAGCCGTCGGAGAAGCCTTCGCAGGCCCACCGGCCCGAAGCGTGCGAATTCGCCGGGTTGCTATTAGGTCCCCCAGTGCCCTTTTTCCCTTTTTGGTGGGGAGGGTTCCCCTATTAAAACAGACTATATACAGAAAAAAAGGCTACCCTGATTCTAATCTCTCTGATCGCCAATTTGGGGGTTTCACCCCCTAAGAAGTTGTGAACCCCACATTCACGGGGGACTCTGTTTTTTGTTTTCCCCCCTTGGAACAAGTTGTTCACCCCAGGTTCACGAAAACACGTATAAGTGGGTTACAACCGAACGGTTGTCAACCACTTACCAACTTGGCGGATCGAACGCCAAAAATGTGGGTATGGGTCAAAAATAGGGTATAACCCCAACATGGAACCCTGGTAAATGGAAACATAGACTAAAACCTGGTCCAACTCCTGGTGGTTGAATTTTGACTCATACCCACATGGGGTGACCATTAGGGAAACCATCCAAAAAGGTGACATTCACCACTCCATGGGATAAGCTAGCCATGGTCATGTTGGGGCCAGGAATATTGATCAACCCCCGCTTCCATTTGCGCCTTCGCAAGTCTTCCCCAGAATTAGCTCCACTTTTTGTGTTTTTGTGTTTGTTTGTTTTTTGTTGCTTTTTTTGGGGTGCCTTTGTTTTCCACATTTTCCAGGCAAACATATATTTCATTTTTGCCGGGGTCCTCTTCTTCCAGCCAAGAAGTGTGGCCCCCTTCGTTCTTTGCGGATGCGCTCAACGAATCTTGACCTGCTGAGCTGGGCGGGGAGGTCCCCCAGCAATTGGTGCCCTTCCTTTTACCGTTTCTTCTTTGGGGAGGAAAAAGCTCCCCTACTAAGAGAATTAGACTAGAGAAAAAAAAGTGGGTTCCAACTTATTCTAAGCTCCAAAATTTGGAGGACCTAGTCTGTGTGCTCCAAAGGTTGAGCAGACATCCGCGGCTTGCGGACACCGGCTTGAGACTCCGAACGGAGGGGTTGATGCTCATGGACTATGCCTTGCAGTACAGAATGGAGTTGTTGGTGTACTTCAATAGCTATGAATGCTAATTGACTGGGACCTTTTCAACATGCCCGGGGGAATCCACGGGGAAGTGGGCATATGCTAGCTGATTGTTACTCACCATATCTCATAGACCCCCAGAAGGGATATCGGGCAAGGGGGTCCCATATTCACCCATTCAGGCCTTGTTAAGGGTTTTTCCTTGGCTTATCCTTGGCTTAGCCTTCCCCCCTGGTAGTCTTTCTTCATGCTACTGGTGCATGAATATCCGGTCAGAGGATAGAACCCACTGGACTGGCCACTTACCAAGCGCTGCTTTTTGGATCTTCAGACTTTAACGTTTTTCTTCTTCTGGGAGGGGGGGAATCAAGCTTTTTCCACCGCCGCAAGCTTGGCTGCTTGTTCAGGGATCCTTAAAAGAAATTCATGTTGCCACTATTTGAAACATGTTGCTTTGTCAACACCAAAATAAAGGGACACCACCATTTACATGGCAATGTTCAGGTGTATAATGCATTCGGATTTTTTGTTGTTGGATCTTCAGACTTACTAAGTTTCGGGCGAGTGATGGGCTTTTTCCACCCAAACAGCCATCAGTTGCCCTCCCACCATGGCACCTGTCCCTACAAAAAGCTGAGCTTTTGCAGACTCACAGGTGCAACACGGCAATGGGAGGAAGTTTGCTGGTGCGATAGGCAAAAAATGAGAAATGGAATGACCCTTACCTGGAGTCTCCATGACGCGAACTAAAAATTGACCCCTTTATTTTGGGTAATGACCCCATCTTTAAAGAGTCATGGAGACTCCAGACATAAACCATCCAACTGGTGCCATCCAACTGGTGGTTTCCTTTAGGGAAACCAAAGCTTGGGTTCGTTATTTAGAGGGTCGACAGGAACTAGGGACAGGTGTTTTGGAGAGTTGGTTTCCTTTTGGGCAAGTTTGGGTGTGTCTCTTTTAAGGCGGACCCCAAAACTGCTGTCGGTTTTCCTTTTCTGTTTCCCTTTACAACCAAAGAAAGATGCTATTTTTAAGTTGGACTTTTGAGGGTCGAGGTACATACCATTTATGCATCCTGGTAATGTTAACCCCGGATGAATAAACCCCTGCTTGATTCCTAGGGGGGGGGTCCCGATTCTTTTAGTGGGGAGTCAGACCATTGTTGGAGGGAACACTCCCCGAAGAATGGGACGGGTTTCCTGGACCACCAAAAGACCCCTTTTTGTTTCTGGCTTTGTACCTTTTTTTTTCTGGGTCCAAGGCAACAAAAAGGAATCGGTCTTTTGGGGGTCCAGGTTATTATTCCTGGGTCCACCTTACCCGCCAGCCCTTTGCCTCGACTCGACTGCTCTCAGGCCAAGAACACGCGGCTGCTTCCGTGGCGCGGGCCCCGGGAATGAGAAATGGAATGAACCTGGGGGTCCTTTTGCTAGGTCCCCCAGTAGGTTCCCCTAAAGTAGACTACAGAAAAAAGAAATGGTACCCTTGTTCTATCCTCTCTACTGGACCTAGCCTTAAAGGAAACTTCATAAACGATGGCAAAAGAACGGCTCATTCCATTTCTTACTCTCTACCTACCTTATTCCCTTAAAGGAAACTTCATAAGCGATGCTTTGGGGTCATTCCTCACTCTCTACCCACCAAGTCTTGAGTTCAGCTGACATCCCGGCGGATGACTTGATGGGTTCCGGCGACTTTCGGCGCCACGGCGAAAAGGCGAGCGAGGTATGGCGCAAGAACCAGCGATTGGTGCCCTGAAAACCGTCCCTTTCTTTTTTGGCTGGGAGATTCGGTTCCCCTAAAATAGACAGGAACAAGTTGGTAGCCTTATTCTAACCTCTCTACTGGAGGACCTAGGTCAGAAGGGGCAACCATGCGTGCGCAGAATGGCGACTACAACGCTCACAGTGCAGCCACAGTGCCGCAGGGGCGACGTGGTGGCCAAGGCGGTCCGCACCTCCGCCTTTCTGCCTGAGACGGTCGGAAAGTTCATCCCCTTCTTCGGACTCACCTCCATCCACAGTAGTGAAGCCTATGACTCTTACGTTATCTTCTTTTTTTTACCCAGCATGTGAGCAACTGTCTATAGTTGGAGGGAGGACGCGAAAAGACCCTAGCCCAAGCTTCCCAGGTCCTACCCTGGCTCAAGTCCGGAGCAATTCACTTGGCTGCCTGTCATCCGGGCCCTTAGCTTCTCAGGATCCCTGTTCTTTGACGCAGTTCCAAAGTGAAGGGCCCTTTCCGGCAATCACTCGCTATCTTCCCGGGACCAGCGGAGAACCCCATGTCTTTGGTGGCGAAGCCCGCGGCCATCCGGTGCAACTGAGCTTCTTGGATCCTTTTGGTGTTTAGATTCGGCAGTTTCCGTATTTAACCCACTAAAACCGGAGCTTTTTGGATCCTTTTGGTGTCTAGTGGTAGTTGCCCTATTTCACCCAAAAGTTCGTCACTTTTAGCGATCGGGGCCCAGAAAACGGGCAGCCCAGATCAGACAGGTTTGAGTTCCTGGAGTGTGCAACACTTTCATGGTTATTGTTGGGACACATCTTACATTTTTGCCTTTTGTGGTTTAGTGGTGGAAATCCAACCACCTAACTGCTAAAATTTATTTTGTTTGCTCCCCTTGCAACGTCAACTAAGTGGGTCTGGAGCAATTCATCAGGCAGGTCGGAGTTCCTGGACTTGAGTGAACAACAGCTTGGACTGGTTGCCAGTCCACTCCGGCATCTCCAAAAGGCGATCGCCTTATATTTGTGTTTTCTCCGTTTGGGTGTGTCTTGAAATAGGTCCCGAAAAGTGTGCAATCGTTTCATGTTGGTTTCCCTGTAGAACCACACACACAATAAACGGGGTGTCCTTAAAAAGACGACAGACCTATTTCATTGCAGAATCGGATGGCTCAGAATTCAACCACTTCCTGCCGCAGATTTGTTTGTTCGTTTCATTTTCCAGGTGGCAAGCCATTTGGGGTTTCCAACTAACAACCACTTGGAGTCTCCATGACCCTTAAATGGTGGTCATTACCCCAAAATCATGGAAAGGGTCATGGACCCATTTGTATTAAGGGTCCTTAGAGAGACTCCACTCGGCCTGAGTAACTTAGGCCTTTTGTCAACGGCCGGTTTCAACACCCCGTAAGAAGGCAACGCAAAAGGACTCCCTGGAGTCTCCATGACCCTTTAAAAACGGGTCCATGACCCCATTATTTTGGGTAATGACCCCTTGTTTAAAGGGTCCTTAGGGAGACTCCAGGTCCTCTTGCGAGGTAACAACCACACCCTGGGGCCGAATCAACCCCTCAACCCCCCGCCGCTTGCCCCCCCCGAAATCGGCCGAGCTCGAGCTCGGGAAACCCGAGGTATCGCGAGGCGGAGCTCGCCCATGGCCGGGTCTGCATGTTGGCGGCCGGCAGGCTTAGATCGAAAAGCGGAGTCTGGGGTCCCTTGTTTTCGGCACCCAATGTGTTTGTTATTGATGAATATATATATATATATATACATATATAGAGATAAATGAAAAAAACATGATTATTTATCATCCGTTATAAATAACTATATATATATATATAGATATGTTAATTGCTCATCCGTTCCAAGTGGAAGTCGAACTTCCATTTGCTGAAATGAGTATTTGTTTTATTGCTCCCGCCTGGATTTTCCTTTGCGTACTTTTTGCCCGTGTGTTTCACGATTTAAGGCGTTTTGGGCGATTCGGGCGCGCGTTGTGCGGCTTTTTTGCGGGCGTGGTGCGGCCATTTGCGGGCGTTTTCCCTTAGGCGTTTGCGGGATTTTGCGGGTGTTTGCGTTGCAAAATGAGGCACACACAGAAACTACAAGAAACAAGTACTCGTTGGAATGTCCAGGCGGCTGGTTTTAAAGGGAATCGATTTCACTACATGATAATATGACTGGGTTTTTTCCAGGGGACGAAAAAGCAAATGGGAAGCCGTTAGTTCCCTTGAAGTCAACCCCAGTGGCTCCATGCAAACCTAGGCAACCGAGGGCTTGCCACCCGACAAAAAAAGGCAAAAGGACAAAGTTTGATCGAAGGGTTGACTTGGCTCAGCTGTTGAGCTTTTTAGTGTTTACCTGGAGTCTCCTTCTGTCCCGAAATATAAATGAGTCCCCCCCATTGTTTTATGGGTAATGACCAAGCGTTTTTATTGGGTCATGGAGACTCCAAGTAGTGGTTGGGTTTCCATTTCAACCCACTAGAAGTTCGTCACTTAGGAAGGGGATCTGAACACGGACAGCCCAGCAATATGGCGTCGGCAAGGGGCCCTGGTTGAGGTTTCAAGGGTGACCTTCGCCGACAAAAAAAATCGACGAATAACCAGGATCCACTCAAAACCCCCAAAACACCCAAACGACCCCGAAACCCCCAAAAAATAATAGACAACACCCCCAAAACGGGAGCCAACTCGACATAAAAGTCACACCTATGAAGACGCGTGGGAGGCTTGCCTTCAAACAGAGACACACACTTACACACAGAGACACACACACACACATCCTTGAATGGTGTGGACTTCTTCGAGGGTACCTGGACTTTTAAGCTACCAACTTAAAAGATGAGTTACTGCCCAAACATATGGTTGGTGAAATCCCTTCTTCAAGGCTAGTTCTTTCTGGTCGAGGTATTCTATTTCAGGCCCCTGACGTGCTGTTGGCATGTTGTTCAAGCTTTTTTTGTTGTTGGTTCTGTTTAGTTCTGTTTATGTTTAGGTTTGGGGGTGGAAAGAAGAGAGAGTCAGTTTTGTGCAAGCCCATACTCAGTGGGTCAGGTCACCCTTAGGTGGTGGTGTGGATTTGTGGTTTGGGGATTTGAACAGGTCCCTGGTTCTTGTGGGGGGTACATGGGAAACCGCCAGTCCAAACCACCAAATCACCAAACCACCAATTAGAGGGAAGCTGAACAACATTCCATGAGTGTTGTTGTTTTGAGGGACCCCCCAACAAAGCAAACAAAGCACTGAAACGAAGAAGAGAATCCGTTTGTTGCAAGCCCACCTGAACCCTCAAACTACCCTCAACAAAAAGGAATTCACCATTTGGGTATGGGTCTAAATTAAACCACCAAGGGACCACAGGTTTTGGTACATGTTTCCACTTGTCAGGGTTCCATTTGGGGTACCTATTTTTGACCCACAGCCATTTGGGTTGCTCTAGAATTCCCGTTTTATGAGTTGGATTTTTTGAGGGTCCGGCATACTCAGTGTTTTTTCTCTATGAGAATTGCGTCAAGGTGGAATGATTCTAGAGGTTGATTCCCCGTTCTTTTCAGCCTTCATTATTTTCAAAAACCAGCCATTTCCCCAGGGTGTTTGGTGGTTGTCTAGAAAGAATGGGGAAGTTACCCCTATAATGATGGGTTTCCTCATCAGGTCGCTGATCTTGATCTCGCTCCTGATCTTCCAACCTTCTCCCATGCCTTTTCATCTCCACTAGCTTCCACTACCAATCAAAGAAAGGTTGGAACCTCGAATTCCCATCGTCCCCAAGGGACCCTAAATATGAGGGGGTTCCTCTAACCCCAAAAGCCTCAAATGAAATCGATCCCGCGGGGGCTCCTAGGGTAAGGTCCCATACTCATCGAGGATCTTCTTCTAGGTCCTCCTCCAGTGGAGAGGTTAGAATAAGTTGGTACCAACTTGTTCCTGTCTATTTTAGTAGGGGACCTTCCCAACCAAAACAGGGGCGAGAGGTCGGGCACTGGACCTAGGATACTTTGGCACTCTCTCAAATCACTCGAGGCACTGCAATGATTGGGAAACTGCCCCAGCAGATCACCAAACCACGAACCCAAACCACCTAGAGGGAAGCTGAGTAGTATTTCAGGCGTGTGTGTGGTGGGAGGTGGGCATGGGACCTCGCTGGACCGAGCTGGAAAAGGTGCCCTCAGGTCAAGGAACCCCCTAGACTCAGTTGCCCAAAGCGAATCGACCAGCTCTGACCTTTTGGCTTTCCCATGGGTTCCCATTTTTAGTAGACCTTTTCAACATTTTTGACCTTTTGCAAATTTCCCCACAAGGTGATCACCTTTGGTTTCCAACGTCCTTTGGGCTCGCGACCCGAGGTCCTGGGCTATACCGTGCAGACCTCCGGCGCTAAGCTGGCGCCTGAGCCGGCGAGCGAGCGGAGGTTAAGCCAGGCGGCCAGGCCCTGCGCCTCTGAAGCGACCGTTTTTTGGTTGGAGCTCCACCGTTTTGGTTGGAGTTCTTTTAATCCAAGAGGGGTTCCCCGGCCATATTTTATGTGTTTTAGGTTTTTGGTTTTTGTGTTGTTGTTTTTTTGGGGGGTGGGGGGGAGGGGGGCTTCGCTTACTTTAAGACAAGACCACGTGTGTGTGTGTGTGTCTGTTGTGTTTTGCTGAAGGAACCCTGGTCATGGTCAACGCTGTGTGACCGAACTGCAAAAGAGAGAGCCTTTTATTTTCGACTTGGGACCCTCCATGGGTGGGTTTTTTGTGTCCGTTCAAAGTCAAAGCAAACATGTGGAAATGGCGAGCCTCGAAAAATGGCGAGCCAATCAAAAATGCTACCCAGCAGTGCCCTTTTACCCTTTTTGGTTGGGAGGGTTCCCCTACTAAAATAGACTACAGAAAAAACAAACGGTACCCTTATTCTAACCTCACTACTGGAGGACCTAGAGACCTTCCGAAGGTGAACGCAGGAAAGTTTCTGGGCACTCGACCAGAAACCAGACAAGGGTTGGATCACAGAGCATTGGACCAGTGCGTTGAAACGGCCAGCCCTAACTTTGTTTTTTTTTCACCATGTGGGGGATCCCCAAAATACTCCGCCTCCAGGACGTACTTTTTATATGTTTTTTTTTTCATGTGAGGGATCCCCAAAAATACTCCGCCTCAAGGACGTATTCAAGTGGAATAGGGCTAAAACCCTGTAAAACGAAGGCGACCCTTTAAAACAAAACCTCCAGAGCTATTCCATGTTGCACCTTTTAATTTTCTTCCATTTGGTTAAGTTGTTTATTTTTCCCCCTGTTGGTTTTAAAGGAAATCTATCACTACTGGAAATATGTTCATATTTTTTTCCAGGGGACTTAAGAAAATGGAGGTTTTGGAGATAGCTGACGTGCCTGAAGTCTCCCCAAACCCCTTACATACAATGACTGGTCGAATCGACCCAACTCACTTGCAGCGAATCGACCGGATCTAACCTTTGGTTTCCCTGAATTGATCACATCGTCATGGCAACCCAAAAGGCGATCACTTTTTGTTTCAGGTTATTTTTTTGGGGGGGGCAACTGAGCAAAAGGATCATTCCTGGGTCATGACCTCTTTTTTTTTAACGTAACCTTAGGGAGCCTCCAGCAATCACCGAAAGCTCGTCTTCTGCGTGTTTTTTTTTGTTTCCCCAACCGGGAATTTGTTAGCTTACTTTTTCCAGACCCGGTATAGGGATCCATTTTGCGGAGGCTTCCTGTGGTTTGCACGGGTTCAGCAGATCATTCACCACATGAGTCTCGCATGGGGAGTGTACGGCAACACATGAAAGAGATGAGCGTACAGCACCTCTTCGCTCTTTCAAGGCCGAGTCTCGCAGCATTCCCCCCAGATTCTCATGTTGCCCGCGCAGAAAACCTGTTTGGCAACAGAAGAATGCACCCATCGTCCCGTGCCATGAAGGTGGATGTTCACTTGCCCAGCGGAGATGGTTGCTCCATAGCAGTCTCACCGTCGACGCCCATCAGCGAGCTGAGGGTTGCAGCGCAGCAGCATTTCCAGCGCCGCTTGAGGCTCATTGCGAAAGGTGGACAGCTCGATTTGACGGCTACGCTGAGTGAGGCCGGATTGCGAGATGGGGATGTTGTGGTAGCCGTTGCGCAACTGGGCAGATTGGCTGCCACTCGCAGGGCATTTGCCTTGCATGGTCACAGAGACGAGGTTGTGGCCTGGGGTAATCCAGAATATGGCGGAGACAGCAGCCAGGTGCAAGAGCAGCTGAGGAACGCCCAGCACATCCAAGCAACTCAATCCGCTTTTGCTGCCATTCTTGAATCTGGGGCTGTTGTGACGTGGGGCAAGCCGGGCTATGGCGGAGACAGCAGCCAGGTGCAAGAGCAGCTGAGGAACGCCCAGCACATCCAAGCAACTGAAGGTGCTTTTGCTGCCATTCTTGAATCTGGGGCTGTTGTGACTTGGGGTCATCCAGAATCTGGCGGAGACAGCAGCCAGGTGCAAGAGCAGCTGAGGAACGCCCAGCACATCCAAGCAACTCAATCCGCTTTTGCTGCCATTCTTGTATCTGGGGCTGTTGTGACCTGGGGCAATCCGGGTTATGGCGGAGACTGCAGCAAGGTGCAAGAGCAGCTGAGGAGCGTGCAGTACATCCAAGCAACTCAGACTGCTGTCGCTGCCATTCTTGAGTCTGGGGCTGTTGTGACCTGGGGCAATCCGGGCTATGGCGGAGACTGCAGCAAGGTGCAAGAGCAGCTGAGGAGCGTCCAGCACATCCAAGCAACTCAGACTGCTTTTGCTGCCATTCTTGAATCTGGGGCTGTTGTGACCTGGGGCAAGCCGGGCTATGGCGGAGACAGCAGCCAGGTGCAAGAGCAGCTGAGGAACGCCCAGCACATCCAAGCAACTGAAGGTGCTTTTGCTGCCATTCTTGAATCAGGGGCTGTTGTGACCTGGGGCAATCCGGGCTATGGCGGAGACTGCAGCCAGGTGCAAGAGCAGCTGAGGAGCGTGCAGACCATCCAAGCAACCAGATTTGCTTTTGCTGCCCTTCTAGAATCAGGGGCTGTGTGACCTGGGGCATCCGGGCTTGGCGGAGACTGCAGCCAGGTGCAAGAGCAGCTGAGGAGCGTGCAGACCATCCAAGCAACCAGATTTGCTTTTGCAGCCATTCTTGAATCTGGGGCTGTTGTGACCTGGGGTTGTCCTGAATACGGCGGAGACAGCAGCCAGGTGCAAGAGCAGCTGATCAATGTCCAGCACATCCAAGCAACTCAATCCGTTTTTGCTGCCAAGAGGATCTGAAGGTGCACCTGGGGCAATCCGGGCTATGGCGGAGACTGCAGCCAGGTGCAAGAGCAGCTGAGGAGCGTGCAGGCAACCAGATTTGCAGCAGCCAGGGGTGCAAGAGCAGCTGATCCCAGCACATCCAAGCAACTCAATCCGTTTTTGCTGCCATTCTTGAATCTGGGGATGTTGTGACCTGGGGTGCTCCAAAAGACGGCGGAGACAGCAGCCAGGTGCAAGATCAACTCAGAAACGTCCAGCACATCCAAGCAACTGTTCATGGTGAAAACACCAAGCACATCCAACCGGGCCTTGGTTGAAAATGCAGGCAGGTGAAAGAGCAGCTGAGGAACGTTTAGCACATCCAAGCAACGCAATCCGCTTTTGCTGCCATTCTTGATTCTGGGACTGTTGTCGTGCAGAGTTCGCTGGAGACAGCCGCCGGGTGCAAGACCAGCTGAGTGGAATCTGTTGCTGTTGTAGCATGGACCGTGCAAATCTGTGTCGCTAAAATAGATGAACATGAGGTGAGCTGCGCCGGTGTTTTCCGTTTCCAAAGGCTTGCCCACGTGGGGTTCGAGGTGAAACCGCCAGCGCAAGGCAATGACGCAGGAAGACAGCAGTGAGGAATTATATGACATCTGGGTGAATCATAACGACCTCACGCGACCTCACCCCAGATGGTGGTTTATGTGGGGAATAGCTCCCAACCACCTTATTTCAGGTTGGTGAAATATTATAATTCACCCATGACATGCCGTTGTGACGTGGTGGTGCTGAAGGGCAACGCTGTCTGAAACCCGGCCGAGTAACTGAGCGGGTTGCTTTTCAGGAGGCGATCCTTTATATGAAGGGACCCTGCCTGATGAATGAGTGCAGGCTTGTTCATGGGTCAGCATTATTAGTTTTCCGCCACATTCTGTGCGGATGCGGTATGAGCCATGATCTTTCAACCTCTGCATTTGCCGTTAAAGAGGGAGCGGTTCAGGAGCCACCAGGAGTTATGTGAAGACATGAACCTCCTTTTTCAAAAGTGACCTTGTCAGGGTTCTTGTTTGGCCATTAGATGACCCTTTATTTCGTGGCAACACGGTCGTCCCTGAGTGGCTTGTGGGTAGAGCATGGGCGGTTTTAGTTTGCACCCCCTGTTTGGTGAACCGTTGCCATTTCGGGTCAATTGGACTTGTTCTCTTTGAGAAACCTTGACATTGGTCAAGAGTGTCCTTTGGTTTCCCACTAAACCACCTGGAAAGCCATAAGTGTGGTCATTTTTGTTCGGCCGGAGTCCGTATTTGGATCATTTTTCCCGTATGGTCATCTTTTGCTGGCCGGTGGCCGTATTTGGCCGTATGCAGCCCGTATTTTTCAACAAATTGTTGGCAAAAAGCCGTAAATGACCGTGTGGCCATTTTTTTGTGGCCCAAGCCGTATGGACAGAAAAGCACGTCACATATGGGTTTCCAGGCAAACCATTTGTTTGCTTCGGACAAACTCAAGTCACCTCAGTCGAGTTTCGAAACTCGACTGTTTGGTCTGTTTGGTGTTTCTCTCAATTTTGGGGTCCGTTGCCCAAAATGGCAACGGCTTCCTTGTGGTTTCCCTCACTCGGCCTTTTCAGAAGCGTGAAGGCCAGAAGAAACCACGAAACATCAGGCCGCAAAAACAATGCGAGTTGTTAATTTGTTTGGCCAGGTGTGGTCAGCAAAACCGCGAGTGGTTAATTTCTTTGGGCAGCAAAAAATGACCATACGGGAAAAATGATCCAAATACGGGTTCCGTCCAAAAAAAACGGCCATACGGCTTTCCAGGTTGCTAATTTCTTTGGCCAGGTGTGCGTGGTCAGAAGATGAGAATAGTTCGCTTCTGGAATCCCTGGACTTTTTCAGCTTGGGGTTAAAGGACCTGAGCGAGAAAATGCAAGTTTTTGAGTCTCCCGAATTGGACCCGAAATAAAAATGGGTAACCATGACCAACTATGATTTTGGGAAATGACCAACCATGTTTAAAGGGTCAGAAGGAGACTCCAGGAAGTTCTTTAGAATTGCTCTGGCCAAGCCACTCGATTCTTGAAGCCTCGCAGGGAATCGACCGGATCACTGAGCCTTGTGGCGTCCCAGATTGGTTTCAAAAGGTGACCTGTTGTTTCCATGTGTGCGAAAGGCCTTGTTAGATCCGAATGTCTATCCAGAATTCATAGAATCCCCTCCTCCTAGATTTCCTCCAGATAAGTCCTTCCTGGCACCCCGTATCTTGTTATTAAAAAAAAAAAAAAAAAAACTATTTTTTCCCCGGTCCTTAGCGTAAATCACCCGTGAAAAACCCGCCAGGGTCCCAGGTTCTCATAAGGCCTCTCAAGATCTGAGCCCAGGAAGGGCTCTTGGATCCGATGGGCTTAAGCTTCTTTACACCTCTGGGGAGACCTGGAAGGGGAGACCCCCCAAAAAAGTCGCACAGTCTACCCCCGGAACCTCCCAAGACCCGAGGCCTTTTTTTAGTTGGCATGACTTGTCGAGCCTCTACTACAAAAGGGATCGGTATTTACCATGGAAACCCGATCGGTTTTTCAAAAATACCCTAGGAAAAGTTGGTATTTGGAGCAGGGGGGTAAGCGTTCATCCCCCATTCTCTTCACCAATCGTTCCCTTCATAAACCTTTACACGGTTTCCCTGCGTGTTTCCCCCGTCTGAAGAGAAGGGCTAGCATGGTTATTTCTGGGTCGAACGGAGTTTTCCCAGAAAAAGAAAAGAACAATAAAAAGAGAGACACGAAACAACAACCGTGGACGGCGTGTCTTAATGAACACATCGAGCTGATGTCTATGGACCCAAGGCGATCGATTCGGTACAGATAAATGGCTCGGCCTAGCTATCCACTCGGACTGGACTTAGAACCGAAGATTATAAGCATGCGCCTGCTTTCTAAGCACTAAGTATCCTGCTCCCTTCCAATAGATATCCAGAAGGAACCCATTTGTTAGGAGTTTATTGAACGTGTCACCCGCACTTGGACAGGAGAACGCCGGATTCAACTCGAAGTTGCAGTGATTTATCGGAACCAACCAGCAAACTCATCATGTCTTGCATGTTCCTGGAGTCTCCTTCTGACCCTTCAAAAATGGTTCGGCATTACCTCATGGTTGGTCATGGACCCATTTTTATTTCGTGTCCTTATAGGGAGACTCCAGGTTAGACTTTCAAGGTTAGAGCAATGACCTCAGCTTAAAAGCACAGTAAGCCGTTTTCCTCAAGGTGCCAGAGTCAAGCTTTCAGGGGGCATGGCAGATCTTGAGCGGATCGCCGCAGCCTGTTGTTTTCTACGTCCTCCTTGGACATTTCGAACCCTGCATTTTTTTGGGACACGTGAGGAAATATATCATGGAAATGGCATTCTCATCATTTTGGAGGGCCTGGAAAGGCCCGGAAATTATGGAAATTGCATTTTCCTCATTTTTGTCAGGGACCTTCGCATCCGTAAAATTCAGGGTGAAATATGTCTATCAAAGTGAGCGCGGGGTTTCTCGACTCTACCTTCAGCCCGATGGTTTAGTGGTCAAGGAGGGGTGCCCCATTGACCCTCTGCAAGAAGTTAGGGGCCGAACCAAGCCGATCCAAGTCACCCGCTGAGTTTCAGGGAGGTGAAATCCGATATCTCTCACTTGCTGATTCAATAGGCAGGGAATGAGAATTGGAATGACCGCGAAATAAGCCACCTGGAACCCCGAACGGCCACTTTTTTTTCGGTCCAAAGGGCGTATTTGGCCTGTTTTTGCCCGTAAGGTTGTGTTTTGTTTTTTTTGTTTCCGGTCATTTGCCTGATTTGCCCGTATTTGGCCGTATAAAACCCGTATTTTATCGATACAATATTGAAAACAATCTCAAAGCCTTTTGACCAAACAACAACAGCCTTTTGGGGCTTCAGGCATCCAACCTTTGGTTCCTTGATTCAGGAATCCCCCAGACACGGTCCATTCAACAACCTCTATAAACCATCGTTTATGGTGTTCTTTAAGGGAATCCCCCCAAATCACCGGGTTCATTCATTCGACCACCCGGATCTCGCAAAGAGTCATGTCCTATCGCACCAGGCTCCAAGCCAAGATGCCAACAAAAAGCCATCCTTCATTGGGACTCTTGTTGCAAGCGGTTGATTCCTTACCTGTCGCACCATATCTTCACTGCTGAAATGATTGTTTGTTTGTGTTCCAATGGCCTTCCAGGAGAAATCGTTGTTTGTTTTCACTTCTGGACACATCTTCTCCCATTTCTTTCCATGTGGCGCGAACGGAGGTGGGAGCCCTTCATCACCCGCTACCCCACAGACTCCGCGGACCCTTTGAAGGCCGCCACCCAGGCGCCAGCGGAGAGCTCTCGAGCCGAAAGGCCGAAGGATGCGGAGTGATCGAGATTCTGAGAGAATGTGCCTTCTGCCTGGAGTCTCCCGAATTGGACCCGAAATAAGAATGGGTCCATGACCAACTATGATTTTGGGTAATGACCAGCCATTTTTTAAGGGACGGAAGGAGACTCCAGGTAGGGGAAAATCTGGTGAACAAGCATACGGGGAAATCTGGCGTTGGATTGGCTTCGAGCCCAATTTGGAACCTGCCCCAAAATTCATCATGACCCCTCCAATGCAGATTTTTCGGACCCTCCAACCCGACCAATTCCTCAAAAGTCCTCAAAAACAAGCCATTTTGAGGGCCCAAAACCGTCGAATCGGACTGTTAGGGTGAGATCATTCGCCCAGATTTGTTGTTTGAACATCAAAGGGGGCGCCGAAAAGAAGGCGTTCTACCTGGAGTCTCCCTAAGGATCTTATCATGGTTGAATTGGGAAACATTTTACATTTTGCTTATTGTGTTTTTGTGGGAAATCCCAACTTATCTGCTAAAAAAACACATGTTTGCTCCCCTCCCAACGTCAACCAAGTTCTTGAACGCCGGGAAATCTGGCGTTGGATTGGCTTCAAGCCCCATTTGGTTCGGTGACATGTCAAAAAGATCGAGATTCGGAACCCCAGAAAAGGCGGTCGAGATCATTTGCCCACTGCTCGGTCGCATGGGCTTCAAGAATCGAGTGGATTGGCCAGAACAAATCTATGAACTTCCTGGAGTCTCCCCAAGGACCCTGTGAAAAATGGTTGGTCAAACAGAATGGTTGGTCATGGTTCCCCATTTTTATTTCGGGTCCTTAGGGAGACTCCAGGCAGATGTTTAGTTTGACAATCAAAGGGGGGGGCCGAAAAGAAGGGCGTCCTACGAGCTTTTGGTGAGCTCAACAAGGGTGGAGGATCCTTGTTGCTTGGTTTCAAAATGGACAGAAACCTCCGGGAAAACCAAAAGGTGCAAGCCATTTGGCTGTGTCTTAGGATTTGGCCCCAAAAGTCATGTTTGCCTTTGTGCCTTTAACACCGTCCAAGTCATTTTTTGCAGACCCAAGGACAGACGTATTCTGGGGCCCCGGAGATATGTGTTTTTTCGGAGGGCGCCCGAAGGCTCGGCAAACCCCGGCTTTCACCACCCCCTGAAAGCCGCCCCAAGCTTTCAATCCACCCCAAGCGGCGCCGATGGGCAGAGGGGTTTCTATGGCTTTCAGGGGAAAAATGTTGTGACCACCAGGGTTTCCGAGCCATTTCCGCCAGGGTTTTTTGGAGTCGTGGCGAGCGTTTCAACTGACAGGCCCCAGTAATTTGAGCAACTGTGAGAGAAAAACCAGTGTCTCCTGACCACCTGGGACAAGGCGAGCCAGGTGTTTTTGTGGTGTTTTTGGTTTGTGTGCTTGTTTGTTTGTTGGTTTCTTTATTTCTTTCTTTATTTGTTTATTTATTTATTTTCTGATTGTTTGTTTGTTGTTTTGCTTGCTTGATTGTTTGCTTGTCCGTCTGTTTGCTTGTTTGATTGATTGCATGCTTGCTTGTTTGTTTGTTTGTTTGTTTGTTTGTTTGCTTGCTTGTTTGTTTGTTTATGTGTTTATTTGTTTGTCGGTTTGGTTTGGGTTGGGTTGGGTTTGCTCGTTTGTTTGTTTGTTTTTGGAGTCATTGCGTTTTCTTGGCCGGTTTGAGAAAGGCAAGCATAGGGGAAGGTTCTCCTTGAGACAAACCCGTTTCAGCCTTGGCATGAAGCGAAAACCCGGTTCACCCTGACCGAGGCTGGAACGGGCGGGCAATTGAACCCCCGGCCGCTCGCGAGTTTTGAGATTTCTACAGCCAGCCTTGTGGCTGTACTCCCCCCCCCCCCAGCACAAGAGTTTCATGACATCCCGTCAAAGGAACGGCCCATAGCTGCCCACCGGAAGGGCCAACAAAAACCAACCCGACAGGACAGAGGATCCCAGGCAAGCCCCGGTGGGTAAGTTGCTTCGTTTGGTGTTGATTCCCTTGGTTCGCTTCATGAAATGAATCCGCCTGGTAGTGGCAAATCCGCCTGGAAAAACTGGTTGCCAAACCAAAAAAGTCGCGCTCCGGCGGAAGCTGGCACACGCCTGAGCAGGGCTCCTTAAAAGATCTCAATTTTGCAACCATTTGAAGCATGTTGCTTTTTCGACACCAAAATAAAGAAAGGGACACCACCATTTACAGGTTGCAATGTTCGATCGGTGTATTTCATGCATTCGGATCGCTGAGGTGCCCATCATCGGCTGGCTGCAGATCCTCACCGTCATCGCCTTGTCGGAGCTTTGGCGCTACGAGCGCACGCCTCGGACTCCGATCCGAATGCGATCGAAGGAGTCGAGGCAAAAATGCCGAAGGAAGTCGGGGGCTGGATGCGGGCCGAACAGTTTTTTAGAGAGTACCTGGAGTCTCCCTAAGGACCCGAAAAAAAAATGGGTCTATGACCAACCATTATTTTGGGTAATGATCAACCATTTTTAAAGGGTCCTTAGGGAGACTCCAGGTAGTGAAAAAGGATCAGGGGCAAGCCCAGACACGGACCCTGTGGCCCAACACACAGAGTTGCTGGTGGAAAGGAGCGGTTCAGGAGCTGGGTATCCAACTTTGCCGTAGAGGGAGCGGTTTTTGCGGAGTGGGTCGCTTCAACTTGTGTGACAACTTTTGTCCATGTCTTTGCGGAACGGGTTATTGTTTTAGGCTCTCAAGTTTGGTTTGTTTAATGAGGTAGCCCCTAATTGGTGGTTTGGATTGGTGGGGATGTGAACTGCTGCACATGGTTCTTGTAGAGGGTAAATGGGAAAGCACCCCGTAACCGCCAAACCACCAATTCAAAACATGCATGTAGAGGGAAGCAGATTTCAGGTTGGTTTAAAGAGACACTAAAAGCGACCGCCAATTTGGGGGTCCAGATCTCTATCTTTTTGACATGTCACCGAACCAAATCGGGCTCGAAGCCATAAGGAACGCCAGATTTCCCCGCTTCTCCGTGTGGGTTCAATAAGATATGAGCGACCAGCATTGTGGCAACCGACTTCTGGTAGTTGCCTAGATTGCGCAAGGGACAAAACCACCTGGAGTCTTCCTAAGGACCCTTTAAAGATGGTTGGTCATTACCCCAAAATACTGGAAAGGGTCATGGACCCATTTTTATTTCGGGTTCTTAGGGAGACTCCAGGTAAGAGCGGGAAGCAAAGTGGGCAGTGGGCGTCCTTTGGCCGGGAAGGAAGAGGCTTGGCCGGGCACGGTTCTCCCCCGGTTGATCAGAAGAAAGCAGAGCTGGTTGAAGTGTAAGGCAGTGCCAAGCATCTCACTTCCTGAGTTCATGAACTTTAAACTTTTTGGGAAGACCATTTTAGTGGTAAATAAAAGTTCAGACTTTTCTTGGCCAATCAACTTGGGAAGTGAGGCATACAACCCCTCTTGCCAAAGCCGACTCTGAACCGTATCGGTCCAATAGTAGAATATGTAGTCAAGGTTCCAACATATTAACCTGTGATTCTTCCTTCCTTTGGACAAGTGATAAAAGGTGCGACCTGCCCTTGTCATTATTTTGCTTGGATATTGATGTTATTTCGCCGGAGCATAGTCTGAAAGAGTTGCTTAGGGAATCACAGATGGACCTAACTATGAAGGACTGCCTGGGTGTGTTTAATATAATGACCCCTGGTGTCGTACCCGAGTGTCCAAGCATTATTTCGGATCTCCTTTTACATTCCAGGTTTTTAGTGTGGCTTGCCCATTTCTACCCTGAGTCCTGTCTACATGTCCCATGTAGAAATTTAGCCTTGGGAGAAAAATCGGGTTGTGCAAGGTAAGCCCTAATCCGTATGTCTGGCTGTAGTGGTATCCACATCGCTGTCGATCTTGAGCTTCAGCTGAAGGACCTCAGTCAGAAGTACTGGTTTGACAGAGGGTGTCTTCTTGGACGGTCTAGGGTGCATGGCATGAAGACCTTTCTTCCACGGATGTGTCCAAGAATGTGAATCCTTGCAAATAGTTGCGGATTCTGTTGGGGGTTCCTCAAAAGTTGGTGAAACGGGCTTCGCTCTAGTTTACATGTTTTGTGGTCTCAGAGTCGTCTTTGGCAGATTGAATGCATCTAGAAAAATCACCCTCCGCCATGAAAGTGGACTTGCCCAATGGAGACTGTTGCTCCATGGAAGTCCCCGGCAATGCCCGTCAGCGAGCTGAAGGCTGCAGCGCAGCAGCATTTCCAGCGGCGCTTGAAGATCACTGCGAAAGGCCGCCAGCTCGATTTGGCGGCCACGCTGAGTCAGGTCGGGCTGCGAGATCGGGATGTGGTGGATGCGGTTGTGCAGCTTCCCAAACTGGCAGCGACCTGGAAAACGTTCGCTTGGCATGGCCACGGCGGCGACATTGTAACATGGGGTCATCCACGACATGGTGGAGACAGCAGCCAGGTGCAAGAGCAGCTGAGAAATGTTCTGCACATCCAAGCAACCGCCTATGCTTTTGCTGCCATCTTTGAATCCGGGGCTGTTGTGACCTGGGGTGATCCAGGATATGGCGGTGACAGCAGCCAGGTGCAAGAGCAGCTGAAGAACGTCATGCACATCCAAGCATCTAGCAGTGCTTTTGCGGCCATTCTTGAATCTGGGGCTGTTGTGACCTGGGGTGATCCAAAAAGAGGGGGAGACAGCATCCAGGTGCAAGAGCAGCTGAGGAACGTCCAGCGCATCCAAGCAACTTGCGGTGCCTTTGCTGCCATTCTTGAATCCGGGGCTGTTGTGACCTGGGGTAATCCAGAATATGGCGGCGGTGACAGCAGCCAGGTGCAAGAGCAGCTGAAGAACGTCATGCACATCCAAGCATCTAGCAGTGCTTTTGCGGCCATGCTTGAATCTGGGGCTGTTGTGACCTGGGGTGATCCAGAAAGAGGGGGAGACAGCAGCCAGGTGCAAGAGCAGCTGAGGAACGTCTATCACATCTAAGCAACTGATCGTGCTTTTGCTGCCATTCCTGAATCTGGGGCTGTTGTGACCTGGGGCAATCCAGGATACGGCGGTGACAGCAGCAAGGTGCAAGAGCAGCTAAGGAACGTCCAGCACATCCAAGCAACTGCCTATGCTTTTGCTGCCATTCTTCAATCTAGGGCTGTTGTGACCTGGGGTGATCCAGGATATGGCGGTGACAGCAGCCAGGTGCAAGAGCAGCTGAGGAACGTCCAGCGCATCCAAGCAACTTGGGGTGCCTTTGCGGCCATTCTTGAATCTGGGGCTGTTGTGACCTGGGGCAATCCAGGATATGGCGGTGACAGCAGCCAGGTGCAAGAGCAGCTGAGGAACGTCCAGCCCATCCAAGCAACTGTTTTTGCCTTTGCGGCCATTCTTGAATCGGGGGCTGTTGTGACCAACAGGTTAACGCCTCACCTGGATTCGGCATCCAAAGTGTTGCTAAGACAAACGGGTTGGGGGGCTCTCTCTCAGCGCGTTGCGAGGCAAGAAATAGGGAAGATAAGGTGGGCAATTGTCTATATTTACTGTCAGGTGTGGGTTTGTATATGCCACGACATGCGGGTTGGTTTGTTGTGGGTACTGTACTCCTGTTGTTTTTTTGCTTGCTTGTTTGCTTGCTTGCTTGTTTGTTTGTTTGTTTGTTTGTTTGTTTGTTTGTTTGTTTGTTTGTTTGTCTTGTTTATGGAACACGAAAAGCAGAAACCATTCCATGGGTTCCCTTTTAGGGAAACCACCGCTCGTCACCCACCCTGCACGAAGCCACCAGTTGTCCATGAGAACATTGGGTCAGTTTGGACGTATGGTCTTTCTCCATTTCTTCGGGTAACCCCTAGTTGCTTCCCCAGAAAAATCGCTCCCCTGTTTGATCTTTTTTGATCTTTTTTGGAATTCCCGTTTCTTTGTTTTCCACATTTTCCAGGCAAAAAGGATATTTGTTTGCTGGGGTCCTAATTCCAGCCTAGATTGGTAGTTTGGATTGGTGGTTTGGGGATTTGATTAGGTCCCTGGTTCTTGTTGCCAAGTGGGAAGCAGATGTCCTGCAAGTTGTTTAAGGCTTGGAGGAGCCGGGTGCTCATTTAAGATGTCCTGAATGACCGTGATCCAAGCATGCCTTTTCGAATGTTGCGGGCAAGTGCTCAACTCAGTGGCCCAAAGCGAATCGACCTTTGGACCTTTTGATTTTCCAATTTTGGGTTCCCATTTTTTGTAAAGGTACCAAAAGGTGATGACCTTTTATTTCCAACTCCTTTGGGCAAGTGAGTCAAAGGCTACGCGGCGCGGACAGTTTTCAGTGTAAACAAAATGCCAAGCTTGCTGTTGGGCAAGATAAAGCTCCTTTGTAAGCCCCGGATTGGATTCATGGGTGTGCCAGCTATGAGGGGATTATTATTTTTTTGAGGGGGGAGGGGAGGCCTATGAATCCACAAGGTTTCAGGTGACCATTAGTTGGTGAATTGGATTCGTGATTTGGGATTTGAACCGCTGGTTCTTGTAGAGGGTAAATGCTAGGTCCCCCAGTAGTGCCCTTTGACTGTATCCTTTTGTGGGGGAGGGTTCCCCTGCTAAAATAGACTACAGAAAAAAGGGTACCCTTATTCTAACCTCTCTACTGGAGAACCTAGAATGGGAACCCCTTCTTAACCACAAATTATAGAGGGAAGCTGATTTCCCGCAACTTGTTAAAGGCCAGGAGCTGGGTACCATGGACACGAAAGGCTTCCGGTTGCGTTCAACGCCCCCTGGAAAAATGAGTATTTCCAGTAGTGAAATGGATTCCCGTTGAAACCAAAACGCGAACATGGGAAACATTATTTTCAGCCGTGGATGCCAAAATGGGTGGCAAATTTCATGAGGGATTCATGTCCGCCACAGAGGTGGTGCCCTATTTCAGTTCAGAAATGGATAAATTTAGGAAAAAGACCTTCATAGATTCCGAGCCCAAGGCTCCCCCAGGAAAAGGCTCCCCTTTGTGCCTTTTTGCTCTTTTTTGGAATTGGTCCCTTGGTTTTGACCACCTTTTCCAGGCAAAAAAGATCTCACACATGTTTCGCCTTGGGTCCCCTTCTTCCAGCCAAGTTAATTGGGTGCCCTTCATAGAGGGGGGGGGTTGGTGGCCCCTTCGGGCGCCCTCATTTCAAGATCTTTCAGCTGTTAACGATTCTTTCACGGGCACCAGGGCTTTTTCGCCAAAACTGGGTGCCTATCCTCAGCACCGAATCTCCCCGTTTGAGCCGAATCTCCCGCCTCGGAACCTTGAGGAACGTGATCTCCAAGTACAGTGCCCGGATCCTGAGTCAAAATGCGCGCTCACGCTACCTGCCGCTTGTTTGTTTGTTTGTTTGCTTGCTTGCTTCTTTGTGTGCTTCTTTGTTTGTTTCTTTGTTTGTGTTTGCTTGCTTGCTTGGTTACTGGCTGGGCTGGCTGGCTGGCTTGCCTGTTTGCTTTCTTTCTTTCTTTCTTTCTTTCTTGCTTGCTTGCTTGCTTGCCTTTGCTTGTTTCTTGTTTTGCGTGTTTGTGTTTGTGCCTGTGCGTGTGCTATTGTCCAGTCCTTTAGCAAGTGCGAGTAGTGACATCCTCAACGCTGCGTATTTTGGAAGACCCAATTTTGGAAGAGATTCAGTGACAAACCACATTGCTCATTGGCCGAAGAGAGACCACGGCAAAGGTGGCTAGGCCCGCATCGGTTTTCGTTTTCTTTTTTTTTCCGCGTTTCTTGCTACCGGAATTCGCATAACTTGCCAGCTGCCAGCTCCGATCGCCGGTTCGCAGGCCCAACAAGTGGGGGGGCTAACGTGCACAGCTTGTACCCCCTACTCCAAATACCCACTTTTTCTATTGTATTTTTGGGAAAACCTTGTTTTTCAAGGTAGATACCTCCTTTTTTAGTAGAGGGTCGACATGATACCCTGAAAAAGTGGGTATTTGGAGTCGGGGGTAAGCTGAAAGCGTGCCACCGGCAAGAGGTCGTCGCCAATTGTCCAAGGTTTTCACGGCCCCCCCTCCCCCCTGAACTGTGGAACTAGTCAGCCGGACCCTCTTTAGAGAAAATCTTGGGGGTCTGGGAGGGACAGTACTTACTTTAGCATTGCCAATTCTACCTGGACGCCCAACAAAAACACTTTGTTTTCCTTTGACCCAGAAAAAGCGGTACAAAGCCTGAAAAAAGGAATCGGTCTCTTGGGGGTCCACTTTAGTATTGCCCCATTTTTGGGCCACGTGATGAGTCTCTCTTGCCCGCTGGCAGGCGAAGCCGGGTTAATAATTCTCAGATCGGACACCCCAAAGTTGGTGTCATCCAGGTCGGACACCCCCCAGAAAATGGAAGGGGGAATGTTCCCCCTGAGACAACTCCAGGTTTTGATGACCCTTTGAAAATCGGTCTATGACCCCAACTTAATTCGGGTACTCTAAGGGTCATGACTTCTCCAAACCCCCAGACCCAATGGAGAGCCGGCTCCTCAAAAAACAACGCCATTTTGAGCCCGAAACCGTCGAATCGGAGCCTTAGGGTACTGACCCAATTTGTTTTTATTGGGGTCAGAAGGAGACTCCAGGGGCACCTCACATGGGCCCATGTCCCTTTTGCTCGACACAAGAATGGGTCGTGCCCCGTTAGTTTTTCTAGGACCCGCTTCGGCACCCTGTTTTCGTTGAAAACCTAAGGGAAAATCCGCAGGAAGTTGGCTTGCCCACCAAAAGCAAAGGATGTCCGGCAGAAAGAGGCTTGGAGGACATATGACAAAAGGGTGTGTGCTTTCTTTAAGGCGCCGCTTTTTGGTGGTTCGAAGGGAAACCCAAAGGGCAACCGAAGCCATTTTGGCCACTTGGGGGGGGTTCGCGAAACAAGATGACCCAGCCACTGTGTCCCGTGTTCCCCCCCCCACCCCCTCTCACCACCCCCACCCCACCCTGCAGCCCATGTGGCCTCATATGCGCCATGGTCAAAAGACCCTTTTTGGGGTTGATAGGGGTGGTAATCAGGTAAGGATCCTTAAGAACCAGCATATGTTTTTTTTTTTTTTTTTTAAACATTGGCCACGTCGCAACATGGTCTTTCCAAAATGGCTGGCTTCCTCTTGGTGTCCTTTTCATGGTTGTTTTTTGGAAACATGTTACTACATTTTTGCTCATTTCAACCTATTAATGGCTTAATTTACATGTTTGCTCCCCTAAGCCAACGCCAACCAAGGCATGGGAGTGTCTTAGTATTGGAACCCTTGCAATTACTTGGGAGTCCCTTACGCCATTCAATAGATGCCCCCCCCAAAAAAAACAAAAAACGATGCTTCCTCTTGGTGTCCTTGTCAACCCCTTCCTGGAGTTTTTTTTGCTAGGACACGTAAAAACAACTGTGTCTGTGACACATGATTTTGGGTCTGACCCCCCATTTTTATGTCGGGGAAGGAGACTCCAGACTCCGGGGGTGTCCGATCTGGTTTTTGGGGTACCCTCAAGAGGGGTTGATTCCCCATTCTTTTCAACCATCGTTCTTTGCAGAAGCCAGCTGTTTCCCCTGGGGTTATGATGGTTTTCTGGAAAGAAGGATCCCAAGAATGGGGAAGTGTCCCCTAGAGTTTGGAGTTTTGCATCGGAACCCCAGGAGGGCGTGGCGCCCGGGGACTTGGGCGCGGGCCCCAGAAAAGTCGGTTGAAATTCGGCGGAAGAGAACTAACTTACCTCTTAGAAGCACCACTGTTCGTAACTTTTTGGGGGTAACATGGGCTATATGTCTGTAAAAGATTAACTTCCCCAGGGCTTGGAGTTTTAAGGGGTAAGAGTACGAAGGTGGGTCAACGGTATTGTTTTTGGTTTTGGTGCTTGAACATACGTGGACCCCCCAAAAGACTTCTTGATCCCTTTTTGTTGCCTTTGACGCAGAAACAAAGGGGTACAAAGCCAGCAAAAAGGAATCGGTCTTTTGGGGGTCCAGGTATGTATGTTGTATGTAATATGCACATATATAGGTATGTAGAGTGTGTGCACAGGCATATGTACACTATACTATTAATATACAAGGCAAGCCCCTTTTGGTAAGCCCGGTTTTATTTGGGACCTCATATTTGAGGATTTGAAGAACCTGTAATTGACGCAAGCCCAACGCCGTAACTATGGGGTACTTAGGACCCTCTACTCTGGGATACATACCTAAAAAACTCCACAAGGCGAAAGTTTCAGCCTGAGACTCAAAAGGCGCCTTTTGCCGTGGCGGAAGTCGAAGGGGAGGGGGGTTGTGTCGGCGTTTGTCAATTTGCAACGGCGTTTTTGCGGTTGGTGGGCATTCGGCCTGACGTGGGCTGCGTCGCAAGATCTGCGCACCTCGGACACGACTATGCAACTTTGCCAGCTTTTGTGCTGGCTTTGCGGGTTGGTGAAAATCGGTTCGATTTGTTCGAATACCCATCTGCTTTGGCGCGCAAATTGTCATCTTAGACCGAGTCGGGTTTGCTAAGACAATCCGTAAAGAGGCACCAGCTCTTAAACCGACACAGCCACAGGGGAAGGAAGAGCCAAGAAACTTGGAAGGGAGGAGCCATGCTTGACAACATTCGGTTGGCCACCAGCAATGGTCATGCAGAAGGGGTAAGGCAAATCAAATGGGATGCCCGAGCAAAAGAAACAACACCCAGAGTTCCATCTTCGCTTGTGTGCTTACCTCTTAAAAACACAAAGCTTTTCTCAACTTTTTGGGGGTCACATGGGCTAAAGATGTCTGTAAAAGATGAGAACTTCCCCAGGTTGCTCAGGTTGCTCAGGGAGTTTCAAGGGCCCAGGTGTGTGGTCGGTGCCCCCGTGCCAAAAGCCGGGGCCTTTCCTTCGGCGGGCCGTTCGCTTCGCTTCGCTGCGCTTGCGAGGCTGGAACCCCGTGGCCCCCGCGGGGTCCAAGCGGCCCAAGTGGTTCGGCCCAACCTTCGAGGCCAAGTACACCGCCGAGGCGGCGGGGAGGTGGCGGGAAGGCGGCGGAAGGTACGGCGGGGAGAAAAGGCGAGCAAACCAGCAGGTTTCGGGGGGGGAAGGTGGTGGGGGGGGGGGGGAGTTGGGGGGGGGGGGCGAGGGGTGTTTTTTGGTTTGTTTTGTTTTTTTGGGGGGGGGTTTGGCCGGTGTGGGCACGTGCGTCGAAACGTGAGAGCCGCGGAGTGCTGAAAGCGAGAAAACAAACACTGACGGGGCTCACATGAAAGGCAGACATGCAAAGGCTTATGCCAACATGTTCCTTGTGAACCTCGGATTGCTCCGGCCAAAAGTCAAAGGAACCTTCAAAATCGATCCAGGCACCCTCAAGAGACGAACCACCTGATTAGTACAGCCCTCCGGATTATCGCCATTTGTGTCATACAAGGGAATCTCCCCCCACACAGTATATGGGGGGGGGGGGGTAAGCCTTTGGGAAGCCCTTTCTGGCCCCTGTGTCTTTTGAGCTGAAAGCTATGGAGTCTGGGCCCAGATAGGCTCTGGGGTCTGGGGTGGTTTGGGTTGGCCCGAAAGCATAACATCGCAAGCGAGGTTGGCCCAACGCTGCAGGATGCGTTCTCTTTTTCTTGCACGAAGCATTCGTGAAGCAAGCGCGAGACAGCGCTGGGCGGCTCATGGTCTGTTAGCTCATTGGCTGAAGGAAAAACACGCGTCAGCCCGCGCGGCGTGACCTTGCTGCGGAAGGCGGAGGCCACGGCAGCAATCCAGGCTGATGCCCTCGATGGCTGGATCTCTGTGCAATTTGCTCTGTGCAAGTTGCTCCGCGCAAGTTGCTCCCTGCAAGTTGCTCCCTGCAAGTTGCTCTGCGCAAGCTGCTCTGTGCGAGTTGCTCTGTGCAAGTTGCTCTGCGCAAGTTGCTTTGTGCAAGTTGCTCTTGGGCAAGAAGCTCTGTGCAACTGACTCTGTGCAAATATCTCTGTACACGTGCAAGCTGTTCTGTGCAAGTTGCTCTGCGCAAGTTGCTCTGCGCAAGTTACTCTGTCAAAGTTGCTCTGCGCAGGTTCCTCTGCGCAAGATGTTGCACAAGTTGCTCTGCGCAATTGCTCTGTACCAGTTACTCTGCGCAAGTTGCCTGTGCAAGTGCTCTGCACAAGTTACTCTGCGCAAGTCTCTCTGCGCAAGTGTCATTGCGCAAGTGCTCTGCGCAAGTTGCTCTGTGCAAGTCTCCACATCGCTGCCCGCGCGTGCCCTGTGCAAGTTTCGTTGGGCAAGTTGCGATTCTCCAGCCAGAGCTGTCGGAGTGCACTTCCCGTACTACTTTCGCATTTACAACTTGCGATTTTCAAGCTCCAGCTGCGGGAGTGGACTTTGCGTACTACTTTCGTACTTAAAAGTTACGGCTTTCGCTTGCGACGGACCAGGGGGGAATCGAACCCGCGACCCGCCGGCCCCGGAACCACGAGACAACCTCGAGTTGTTTTTGCACCTCGACCACGCCGATCCCCGCAGAGGGTCGCGCGAGCGCCGCAGAAAACGCAAAACACCTCGAGTTTTTGCACCTCGACCACGCTGACTCGACGCCGATCCCCGCAGAGGGTCGCGCGGGCAGCGCAGAAAACACGAAAAACCTCGAGTTTTTGCACGTCGGCCACGCCGATCCCCGCAGAGGGTCGCGCGAGCACCGCAGAAAAGGCAAAAAACCCTGAGTTTTTGCACCTCGACCACGCTGATCCCCGCAGAGGGCCGTGCGAGCACCGCAGAAAAGGCAAAAAACCTCGAGTTTTTGCGCCTCGACCACGCCAATCCCCGCAGAGGGTCGCTTTTCGTACAGTGTCGTCGGCACTACCCCGCCGCCCTAAGAAGAGATTTTAACTCCTCGCAAGTCAATCTCGTGAGCACGCACTTGCAACTTGCACTTACAACTTGCGCTTGCAACTTGCAACTTGCACTTGCAACTTGCACTTGGAATGACTCTCATGACTCCTTGCACTTGCAACTTGCACTTGCAATGACTCTCGTGACTCCTTGCACTTGAAACTTGCACTTGCAATGACTCTCATGACCCCACTTGCAACTTGCGCTTGCAATGACTCTCATGACTCCTTGCACTTGCCACTTGCACTTGCAATGACTCTCATGATGATGGCTCTCATGATGATGACTCTCATGATGTTGACTCTCATGATGGTGACTCTCATGATGGTGACTCTCATGACGATGACTCTCATGATAATGACTCCTTGCAATGACTCCTTGCAATGACTTTCATGATGATGACTCCTTGCAATGACTCTCATGATGATGACTCCTTGCAATGACACCTTGCAATGACTCTCATGAGAACAACTCAAGTGATTCCAGCGGAAGAACCCTTCGCCATGCTTTCGGGAAAGAAGTATTGGGTGTAAGGGGTACTTGCATGGCCTCGGAGTTGGCTGGGTGGCTGGTAATGCCCAGTTCAGCTCAGCGCCGTCTTCACTCTTGTAACTACCTCGAGTCTCCCTAAGGACCCTTTAAAAATGGTTGGTCAGACTGTCATGGGACCAATTTTTATTTCGGGTCCTGACAAAGGCTCCAGGTAGAGTTATGCAAGTAGGACCTTGACGCCTTGACGCACCGATGTGTAAGGGAAGAAGCAGCAGCAGCAGCCTTGGCGCAAACGTCGACAACGGAACGAAGAAACTAGGTCCCAGTGCCCTTTTACCCTTTTTGGGGGAGGGTTCCCCTACTAAAATAGACCACTGAACAAAAATTGGTACCCTTATTCTAACCTCTCCACTGGAGGACCTAGGAAAGGTTCATTGTATCGCCAGACTTGGCTTGCCCAGCACTTGCAGGCAAGCCACTAGAACCCAGCAATTTTTTTCCTATGCATAAATCCTGGTACCGAAGGGTTACCTGGCTTGGTGGTTCGCAGCCATTTTCTTTGGTCGGATTTTTTGGGGTTTAGTGGGGGGGGGTTCTATGAAACTCGAACGTCCAGCTTTTAGCCGGGGTTCCGAAAGTGGACTGCCCTACGTGACCTGCTCCAAATACCGTCTTCTTTTAGGGTACGATGTCGACCCTCTACTAAAAAAGGATGTATTTACCTTGAAAAACCGATCGGTTTTCCAAAAAATACCAACTAGAAAAAGGCGGGTATTTGGAGGTTACGTTGTTCCTGGGCACCAGGAGTGGAACAACATGAAGCTCCGTGAGATCAAGCACTGTCGACTGGCCTTCTCCTCGGTCGTGTTTCTTCGCCGTCGACAAAAGACACCTTGCAGGGTTTAGCATCTCCGCTTTTGTCTAGAAGAAACAACCTCTCACTGGACGCACTGTTTGAAGAACTGGTTTGGGAACAGGGTGCTCGGATTTGTTGGTGATCTTCCGACTTTGTTCTCAATAGCTTGTATAGACTATGAGTGTTGTCCTATGGATCCCAAGCGCAGTGTTTGGAATCGGACTATCTATACTTAGTTGTCCCAGCCATCCCCTTGGATTTTTAGCTTTTTTGGTGTTTAGTGGTTGGATGTTCATTTAACCCGCTGAAAGTCAAACTTTTAGCTTAAGATCTGAGGACAGCCCAGCATGTACGGTTTTTTGTTTTAAGAACGGACAGCATCTGAGTTGCTTTCCTAAGCAGCAAGGTTTCGGATGGGAGCGCCACAAAAATGACCTGCGTGGAATATTGCTAATGGGCTGCTGCCAGAGGTTTGCGGATTTTGGAAGCTTGGCGTGAGTCACCATAGGAAGGCAAGATCATGCACCTGCAACGGTGTGTTGGGGGGGGATCCCTGTATAAGACAAGGACCAGCCCTTAGTGGGGCTTAGTAAGGCTTTGCGTTGTTATGGCGTATGAGGGCAGGGCGAACCTTCAAAAATGGTCATTACCCAAAATAGTGGGGTCATGGACCTATTTTTATTAAGGGTCCTTAGGGAGAGTCCAGGTAGAAAGGTACCATTTTGGGGTAGGTGAACTCACCACCCAGTTTAGGTTTCCTATTTTAATGGTTGGATTGGTTGATGTTCACTGGGGGCCAACCGATTTCGATGTTGAAAAGCCGGGCAGGAGGGATTCCGAATTCCCAGCTGCAGCTCCGGAAGGCCCACTTTCTCTTCTTTCTTTTTTTTTAACAAAATACTTGTGTTAAATCAGCCCCAAGCCAACCCAAACCTACTCAAAGTCAACCCTAAACCCCCCAACAGCAGCCTGGATGTCAGCTCTTCGCTTCTCCTAAACAACCCCAAGCCACCCCAAGACCCACCCTCAATGAAGATCTAAGCCAGCGCAAACCCCCCTAACTTAAACCAGCCCCCAGCAACTCCCAACAACTGCCACCCCAGGTCCAAGTGATGCTGGTGATGCTGGGGATGTTGCCAGCCCTGAGGAAAACCAGCCACGGAAAAACCTGTAAAACAAATACCGCGTATTTGGCATGTTTCTACCCGCAAGGTTGTTTTTGTCGGTCATGTGTCTCATTTGCCCGTACTTGGGCCGTATAAAACCCATGTTTTGTCAATAAAGTTTTGAGAACAAAACGAAGAAAAACGTATTTGGCCGTAGGAGCCTTTTTCTTTTCCGGGCAAAGCCTTTTGACCCCAAAACAACAGCTTTTTCGGGGCTCCAAGCTCCCCAGGGGAACTCCAAATATTTCTCGAAAACCAAAAGGATCTCTAGTTCCTTCCCGGGGATTCCATACTGCAGAGCCATCAGAGCCCCCTCCCCCCGAAGTACCGCGGTTCGGCCCCAAGTTTCCCATGGCTTGGACATAAGTCAAATGGAAGGGGTGTGGGTCTTTCTTTTAGACCCCACAATCTTTGACTTCCTGGAAAGCCGTATGGCCGTTTTTTTTTGGACGGAACCCGTAGTTGGATCATTTTTCCCGTATGGTCATTTTTTGCTGGCCGGTGGCCGTATTTGGCCGTATGCAACCCGTATTTTTTCAACAAATTGTTGACAAAAAGCCGTAAATAACCGTATGGTCATTTTTTTGTGGCCCAAGCCGTATGGACAGAAAAAAACGTCACATATGGGTTTCCAGGTTCCCTTACCAAGCCCGAAATGAGTAGCGTCAAAAAAGGAACAGATCGGTCCTGGAAACCCATATTCGACGTGTTCTTTTGTCCATACAGCTTGGGCCACAAAAAGATGACCATACGGTGATTCACGGCTTTTTGTCCACAATTGGTTGAACAAATACGGGTTGCACACGGCCAAATACAGCCACCGGC